AAAATATGATTAGCATTTCTGTTGTTTTTTATGTATTATTTATGTATATATGTTTTTATTTTTAACTTGAAGTCAGATCAAATAATTAATAATGGATATCCAGTAGAGACGTATGAAGTTGAAACTAAAGACCACTATATGGTGGGCATGGAACGAATACCGTATAGTAAAAATGGGAATAAAACAATTGGCAAACCTATCATTCTATTACACGGCTTGTATGGGACGTCAATGTATTATACACTTAACAATATATCTCTCAGTAAGTATATTTTCATAACATTTTTTATAAAGAATATTTAATTACAACGAGGTAGTATAAGACATATCAACCGAAATACCGTACTATATTATTAATATACCAATTGATTGTATTATTCAGTACCTGTATTGTTAGTAGTTATTGCGCTTGGCATTGTTTTGACATGCTTGAGCATTGTTATATCATCGTCCATCGATATATTATTACAATGTAACTTCTATGCTATTTGCCGTTAATTTATTGATACAAAATTTGATGATGACAAACCTTCACAATCGTTTTGAAATCCTATTGTTAAGAAAATAATATATAATGGCATAATAATATGTAAGTCTACCACCACCTAACCTCTTATCATAGAATACGAATAAGACAAATCAGTAGGTGAATCATTTTAAAATTAATCGAGAATAAGTATTTTTAATAGGTAAGATTCAAAAATATAAATTTATTATTTTAAATGAAATATCATCATAACTATTGATATTATTCTAAAATTGTGTTGGCTGACCAATCATTTCTAATTTATAACAATAATCATTAGGGTGAGATTCCGATTATCATGAGATGAGATAAAATGCCCACGCGCCAACTGCAGGTAGGGAATGATTCCTGGTAAAATCGGGTGGATTTTAAAGAGTAATTAATAATATTACATACATTCATGATGCAGCAAATTGTGTAATACGTACCTATTTAGGTACTTCTGTATGATTTTAAACGTTACGTTGCCGTGCCCTTAGAAAGTTCTAATGTTTTACATTATCCGCTGTCAAAAGTTCATAAATTGAATTTTGTAGGTAAAGTACAAGATGAATATTATGCCAATTATCAACCAATAAGGTTATTGCTTACACAAGCTTAATGCTTATATTGTATAATATATGCACTTATATAGAAGCAAAAATATTGCATATGTAGATAACTATAATACTCTACTGAGTGTATCGACAGGCGTACAGCACATCTGCAGACTGTATACTGCTTTTTTAAATACCTATATAGGTTAGGTTTAATATATATATAGTTTAATATTGAATATTATGATAGCTTGTATAATATATTAAATTATATAAATAAATACATTATTAAGGAATAGCAATGCCGTTGTTTCAACCTTAATATCAATCAATACAAAGAAAAGACAAACTTTACACTAATACACTAGCATACCAATACATCTTACAAATAACAGTATAATGTATACTAATTGTAATGTTTATCGAACAAAGGTTTCATACTATCTGATGCTGGTTTTGACGTTTGGCTTCTCAATTTTCGCCTTGCTGGCATTTCTAAATATATCAAAAACCCAAGAACCGGCCTGGTAACTCCATTGAGAAATATGTCATGGGATTTCAGGTAAGATCAACTGCGTTATTCTTTCTGAAATAATTTACGTGGCATACAGCTTCAAAAGTGTATAATATAAATCTAAAGCAGCGCAGTATATTACATTATAATTCATTTTATGATAGCTCTGTGAGTAATCACATCATGTTTCAATAAAACACATTATCGAGTCTTCAAAAATTGATTATCTGGATAAAAATCTGGAATCTCCTAAGTTAAAAAAAAATGTACAGGGACAAAGAATATTTAAGAAAACACTGAAAATCACTATTAGGTGACATTTTTGATACGACACAATTCATACCCAACAAAAAGTTTTTTATTTATAATCCAGTTCAGTACCTATATATAAGAAAAATTAATAGAATAATTTAATATGTAATTTATTTACTACATACCTACTCGACATAATGATCAAACAAAAATTAATAATTTAATATTCAAGCTTTGACGAATTGGGAATATATGATACAACAGCTGCCATTGATTTTATCATAAATAAAACTGGATATTCTACAATACACATGGGCGGTTATTCTTTCGGAGCTACCATATGCCTGATTGCACTAGCAGAAAGACCAGAATACAACAAAAAAATTGACAAATTAGTTTTGATAGTGCCCACGGCCAGAATGAAGTACTACGACCGAAGGCTTATCATTTTCAAGATATTTCCCTATTTATTCCATGTAAGTACCATTAAGTAATACGTTTTTGGTACAAACAATTTATGTTTTTGTGTTTCCGAAATAAACACACTTCACTGAAGAGTGAAGACGGCTGAAATATTCAAATAATAAAATGTAACTTTTACAAATATTTTATACTTATATACTATGCGTTTATACTTTATAACTGCATATTAATAGAATTCAAAAAGTATTCATATTTTAACATAGTCTGTTATTTATAAATTGTAAGCGACCATTGAGAGGTAGAGGATACATACCTAAGATGAAACATCCAGACGATCAATGGCTAGGACGCCAATGTAAAGATAATAAATACATGAAATATTTATGTCTGTATGTGATGACCCAAGTACAAGGCAATCTTCTACCAATAAATTACGTACGTATCTTATAATTTTTGGAATGTTGATGAAAACAAATAGAGTTGAAACTTGTCACTTAGACTCAAACTATTCTAGATTATACCATATTATTTCTTTCATATATTATACTATAGTCTGTATAGTCTGTGGTTGAGACGTCTAAATCGTATAACCCAAATTATATTTTCCTGTGCCAATTATTTCAACTTAGAATAATATATTTTATTCTAATTTTGTATACCTAATAACTATAGTAGTTAGTAATTACAATTTGAAACCTCCTATAACAGTTTCTTAGGATAAATAAAATGCCCAGGCATAAATGTTAAATCATATATATATATATGTTTTCTAAAAATGTAACGCACCTCATCCATAAATATAATACAATTATTGTTCAATTTAAATATGTATATTTGTTTTTATTAGAATACTATTGAAATCCTGAGAACATATCCTCAGCCAACATCCGTTAAAGTTATGACTCACTATTACCAACTAATACTTCAGGGTAAGCACAGTTAATTATTTTATAGTTAATATAATATAAACAATCGGTTTACTTTCTAACATATTTTACAGTTACATTTATTAAGCTAGTAAGTTTATAATTTATTTTTTCTAAATTATTTATCATCAAAAATATTGAGTAAAATTTAAAATAAAACCATCCACTTTGTGTAGTTATATTTTAATTTAAAGAATTAATATTTAAGTTTACACGATTTGTTTCACTGAAAATGTCAAGTAAAATTATTCTTTTCTGGGTTACGATGAATAACTAAAGAAGATTTTGTTAAAAATATGTTTCCGTAAACATCTACTACTAATACAATTGTAAATTCTTTTCTCTTTTATTCTCAAAAAAATAATGAAAAATTAATAAATGTATATTTCTTATAAAAGTAGTTACCATCCATTTTACATTTATTATCCACTTTCAGTATTTGTAGAGCTGTGGTAACTACATCATATCATTAGTTCTGTGGATAAGTGGTGGTAATCTACAAATACTATTTTCAATTTTGTAGGATATATAAGCGTAAATGATAAATGATAGCAGATACCTATTAATGTCATTACCAAATACATAATATCTTATTTAATTATCATCAACTTTTCAGATTACTTCCGAAAGTATGATTATGGAACAATTGGAAATATGAAGCATTATAATTCTACTACTCCGCCTGATTATGATTTATCTAAAGTGACAGCGGCGACATATGTGTATCAATCAAAACATGATATAATTGCTCCTCCTAAGGTATGAAAATTAAAACAATGATTATTTTTAATTATATAATAACTATTAAACGTATATACGCTATAATATAATAGAGAAGGTCTTTTTTTAACAAACATTATCTTTGAATAATTTACACTTACACATGTTCACATTATTGTGCACTCTTCACTTTATCTCATCCATTTGAGGTGACACGAGTTTAGGGAGCGAAGAGCCTTCCTTGTCAAAAATAAATAGTTGTGCATATTCAGATAGTCCCGTATGTGTTTTTAAATAAAACTCTAATACCTCGAATTATTTACTTACCCAATATGAATTTTACATTCTCTGCTCACAGCATATTTTTATAAATGCTATATTATGATTTATGACATTCTAGTCTGTAGTAGCTGACTAACATAATACTATATATTTTCAAAACTATATAATATAAATGTATAATTATATAGATATTATTAACATACATAATTTACTAGTTTAAAAAAAGGTTTATTTGAATTCAAATTTAACACATCTATTACAGTGACCTCTACAGGACAAAATGACAATCACGTAGTCGATGTACAGACATTTACGGTACTGAATGATAGTTCCTCTGGTTTCGTTGTTGAGTTTCAGCCATTTCCGGTCTCTTGAACCCCAACAACAAATATACACGCAAAGAGAATAATTTGGCGAAAATTCGGTGAACCACCGTACTGATTTGTGTATACACGTCTTTTTCACAGTTCAATGACGTTATTGCCATTGACAATGCAATTCACCTGACACAATATAACCATCAGTCACCACCTCAACCCTCTTTCTCTGCCACTGAACATTGGTTTCCAGTTAAAATCGTTTTATGGTTGTTCTTTTTTCTCCTTTTCATTATACAATATGAACATAATTTGTTTGTGTAATAATTGGCAATACTCATTCGATTCATCGTATTATTTACGACCCAGTACAATATTTATCCTATATTTATGAGCCTCAAGAAATTTAAATTTAATTTAAAACAGTCTAGTAGTTTCTGAGATGAGCTATTAAAAAACTCATTTCACGTTTATATATCTATGGATATAAATTTTAATATTATTAAAATGTTGTGATAGTGTAAAAAAAGTGTACACTGTTAAAAATTCTAGTGAGAAAAATAATTCAATTTATTTAGATAAATTGTATTGAAGAAAAATGTAAATTTTATAAATATTAATTATTATTATAAAAATATTTTAATTAATATGTACATAATTTCAGGACGTAAAATGGTTAGTAGACCGATTACCTAATATCAAGAATATCACAATGGTGAAGAAATTCAGTCACATGGGATTCGCTATAAGCCCTTATGCTAAACCTATTAACCTTTTAATTGTTAAACATTTATTGGAAGATAGTAATTAGATGTATTACAATTTGAAAATATTAAATGTGCTTATTATAATAAAATAAATGTATTGTTGAATTGTGTACCAATATAAATATGGTGACTCGTAATAATTTCATTATTCGCTGAATACAAGAATTATGTACAACAGTTTGTACATATGTCTAATGTCTAAAGTTTAGACTTTAAAATTTAAATCATTATAATTTCATACCTATATATTGTGCGACCAGGCGGCCAACATGGGTTTAACTTTGAGACCTTCAAATAATAAGCTGTTGGTGAAAAATCCTTAACCAATGAGCTTAATAAGCAACTATACGAAGACATATCGCTTGAAAGAATAAGATTATTCTGATGTTCAAGAGTTTGGTGTAACCCCAATTGGAAATATCATAAGACCAGATTGGTCGGAGCAAGCATTTATATAGAAATATACTGTATTTAAATTAGATTAAAAGAGGCAGCGTCTCAGAAGCACTGAAGCTCAAGTTTGTTTTTGAGGACAAGGCTTCACAAAAGTCTTCTATCGAATAGAAAATCGAAATATTTGACTTACTCTGAGTGAGGAATAGTTGTGTGGTTGTATTTTATAGCTAGGGATCAAGAGGGTCAGAGACTCAGAGTATAAAGGCGACATGAACTGATATTGCTGAGTTAGTTTTAATTTTCTGTGTTGTGAAGAATGTTAATAAAGCATTAAGATACGATTGGAGTAATTGACTTGCTTTGAAAGGCTAGTCAAGAATCTTAGATTAACAGTAAATATGATAGTGTAATCAGCGTAGGTTCCAGTTAGGTTATGGGATGTCTAATAAAGATAATATAGAGGAAGAGGCGATGTCACTTTTTTCAATGACGCCAGCTATATATGTCTATATACTATAGCCCATAATCTATAGTTACCTATATCATATTATGTATTAGAAGATGTTAATTCAAGGTTGACAGAACATTGTTCTGTTTTTTAAAATAGAATCTTAGTAAAAGATAATAGTAATGCGTAGAGAATACTTTTTAATTTGCATAGCATACCTTTCATGCCATACAGTATTTCACATCAATTAATAGTTTTATAGAGTTTTTATTGTTTTGAGACAACACAGAGTAGCTGGTGGACTAAGGAGTCGCGGTTGCAACGCTCACCGTCACCGGTTCGAACCTCGGTCAGGGGGTAGCACTTTTCTCCGGGCAGACACCTGTCTGGAGAGAGAGAGAGAGAGAGAGGCCGCCATCTCCCGATCGGGCATGGCAGATACCTACGATAATCGAAATCCTGACAAACACACAAAAAAAAAAAGTGTTAGAAAACCAACAATACCAAACCCTACCACAATCACAATTACCCTACAAACAGCTAAGCTAATGGCCATAGTCACCGGGCTTAAGGATGAATTTAAAAAAAAAAATATTAGATATATATTGTATATTAGTAAAAATGTTTAGATGTTTTCTTATCATAAGACGCAAGCCGCAAGAGCTTACTACATGGGCCACATGCAGCATCTGAGTACAGTGGTTGTTTGGCCACCTCTGTATAGACTGTTCACATCACAACTAAACGGCAAATGTTGGTGGTATGATATGTTTAATGAATGTTTATTGATCATAATATTAACCTACTATCAGTGCGATGATGTCCAGGGAGCCGCACAGATTTGAACAACCTTTTTTTTAGTTGTAGTTGTTAGTATAGAATCTATCATGATTTTTTCTTTTAATAATGCTAAATTTTTTGTTATAATATGAATTATTTCATTGTTATTTTTATCTGCAGAAAGAAACATGTAGTCTACTTTTTTTTTTAATAACTAAACCAATAAACTATACACTATATTCTTATACACGTCTTATACTTTTGTGTTTTGGAAGTCTATAAAAGTCAAAATGTAAAGACAATGAACCTAAACATTTTTTTTGCGGGGGGGGGCATTTATACCAAGTCCACGGAACACTGGTTAAGAACCACTGGTATTGACAATATATTATAGAATATTAGAATATAGATATTATTATTATTTCATTGAAAAATTGGTAGGCATTAAAAACATAATGATACGTTTTAAATTTAATTTAGAAAATATAAAAAAAACTTTGTTTCATTATTATTATTATTGTTTACATAAATATAACAGTATTTAATTAAGTACAATAATACATTAAAAAAAACGTATCTATACTTAATATTAGTGGGAATTTTCCAAAGAGCCGCAGGTTGCATATTAAAGAGTCCCAGGCTCCCGACCCCTGGTATAGACCCACGATTCTATTATAGCAGTGTTTCACAACCATTTTACTACCACGGACCGCACCTTATTTATGCTCATTGACAAGAATACACAAAATTTATCGAAAAATGTTAATTCGGTAGTCCGAATTAACATTTAACATTTTACACCACATTAAACCTAAAAAAAAAAAAATACTTTGTAATAGAAATCGAAGAAAAAATCTGTGGTCCCGCGGACCACCGGTTGGGAAACACTGTATTATAGGTAGGTATTTAGGTATTTATTTAAATGTCCTACAAAAACTTCATGCCTTTTGTTAAAAGTTGTACCTATTATAGAAATTTAAATTACATTTTCTTATGGCAACGCATGGTATTATCTTCATATATAACTAACAAACGAGAATATAATTGTATAAATAATCATTTTAGCTAAACTTACATGATACTATAATAATAATAGCTATCTTTGAATGAATAAAACGCTAATTACATTTTTTTTAAATCTGGGTCTGCCGCTCTTTTGCAGTATGAACAGGTGTCCCGTAACGGATGTGTTGAATTTGAATTCAAAGATGTACAGTCTTATAAAATCATTTTATAGGTACGAAAAAAATTATGATCGAAAACGTTCTATCAGCCTACATTACTGAGTATTGTATTTGTAATAATACATATTCAATAGATGTCCATGGACATCTTATGCGCAGAGAAGAACCAGAAATGTGCCTAACCTGCGGAGAACCTCTCACAGTCAAGCACCTCCTCATCCACTGCCGTATCCATATAGATACCAGAAAAAGTCTAAAATTCCCGACAACCTCTTTGAAGCCCTCAGCCCTGTCCATGACAACACCAACAAAATAATCATATTTTTAAAACAAATTGATATGTATAATTTAATTTAATTTAATTTAAGAATCTATTGTATAACTATACTCTATTATGTACTAATTACCAATTTTTGTTGCAAGCTAATAACCCTAGTAGTTGATGCTGTACCATGAATAAAAAAAAAAAATAATAATAAATATTAAACTGTATACACGAAAAATTAAAGAATTTCAAACAAAAAAAATTATTTGTTTAAACGTTGTGCGGGAATTATCATATATTCATAAGTAAAACTTATTACCAGTAAGTTATTTAATAATTAAATTATAATAATACATTTTAATCATAAGTGATATAATTACACAAAATACACACATATCGCATTCATATTTATCATAGAAAATATAAATTAATAATATTATAAACTTAAAAAAAGTAAATAAGAATAATAACAGTTGAATTTTAAAAAGTTTATAATATTTTGAAAAGCAACTGAATAATTTATTTTAGGCGTGCTATTATAAGCCCCCCGGGCCCCCTTAGTTGCTTTATGATCTTATTATAGGAAATCTGGCAATGTCTATGAAAATAAAATGTAATTTTGTTCTAATGTCAGCTATAAACTTGTTAACGTTTGTGAATTAATGATAATAATTCACTTACCTATAATATTTTTATAAAGATTTTTAATCATACCTACGATCATAATTATTTTTTTTTACAATTGTTTTTAATTATTTTATACCGGATCTTAACTTTAATATCATTAAATTAATACCTTTATCAATTACAATTTATCAACTTCAATAACATTACTTTAACATTTTACAAGGGTATAAATCAAATTTAACAGTTTAATAATTTGACAAAATAACAAATTAATTTTGAAATGAAGAACTTAATAAGTGTTCATAGAATTTAGGTTGTTGAAATTTTCAATATATATTTTTTCACGTTATAGTAAAATTTATGGAACAAACAACCAAATTTTTTTTAATTAATTTTTTTTAGATATCTAAAAATGTGTATTAAAATAAACATATAATACAATTAATCGGATGAGTTTGTAATATTAAAAATTAAAAAAATAATCGTTAACAAAAAACTGATGTTTTTTATTACTTCTCGGTACTTCTCAATTTGTTATTAAATACTATAGTAATGCCCTTGGTGGTCCCACTCAGAATATATACTTAAGAGTAGCAAATTTAATTTATTCTTTCAATAATACTCAATTTTAATATATTTGTATACGAACTTTAAACATCACATCACATAATAGAATTAATTACTTTTAACATACTAATAAAAACATGTGCTAAAATAAGTATTATTCTGAGAATTTCGTATTAATTATTTTTTAGGAATTTGTGAATTAATTTTTAAACAAATATGGATATTTATAAGATATATTTTTTGGTGATGATTCTGTATAGCACACAATATTTCGTGTCATCTAAAGAAACCGTAAGTACATTTTCACTATTGGTAGTAATAGTACCTAATAGTAACCTTATAAGCAATAGGCCAATAAGTAAACTAGTTTTTGGACTGAATACATTGAATTTCTTTTAAAACTACTTACCAAAATGAGATGATTATGTATGTACATTGGTACAGATCCCAAAAAGTTATCTAAGCTTTAAAATAATGTATAGTGTAAAATGTTTTAAGGGTGTACGTAATAATTAAATACAACTATACCAACATTGTTATTTGTATGTTCAAAGTGGGAAAAAATCAAAGCTAGCGGATATCCACTTAAGATGTATGAATACCAAAGTGAAGACCATTTTATGTTAGGTATGGAACGAATACCATATAGTAAATACGGTAACAGAACAATCGGTAAACCCGTAATCTTGTTATCCGGTATGTTCGCCACCTCAATCGTTTATGTATCACATAACAAATCACTCGGTAAGTAATCTATTTATTAATTATTACAGTTTTCTTATTTAGGGAGTACAGTATCGTTATTGCATACTCTTGTTCATAAAACATGATGGTAAATTGT